ACAAAGTAAATGAAGTTGCTGTGTGTAAGACTTTATTTGCATTTACTGAAGGCATGGAAATGTGGCAGAAGCATGAAGCAGGAACTGCAGAACAAAAAAGCATGAGCTTAGAGTAACCCAATGCTGCTTTAATAAACTGCCCCTGCCCCTAAGCTCTGCTCTGGTACTAAGTCATGTAAAAAGCATTTTCACCAGTGTGTTCCCAGAAACACCTTTTTCAACTGTATAGCTAGCCCGAGACAACAGACTGCATCCAACGGCAATTGTTTTGTTATTAGTATATGGGACGAGATGAAATTCCAAGTGCTCTGCAAAATCAGGCCCTTGCTTTCTCAGAATGGCCACCTCCCCTTAGCTGACCCCTCCGAGTGCGTCGGTGCTCATCCATGTGCCTCAATGCACACGTGCACACCGGGAATGCCAATGCCTCTTCAGCTGGTAGGTGCTATGCAGCCAATAACATTTGCAATTGAGATACTAGAATGACACTGCAGAAAAGCCCACAAGGAAATGAGTAGCACTGGAGCACTTGCTACTGAGTGAGCGCTAGTCATCCCCTGCACTGCATGTGTCGGGGAGTCTGTGGGAAACACAATGCGTGATGATGTAGTTAGAAGATGATGACTCACAAAGGGAAACGAATTCATGTTGCATGGGTGACTACAATAGCATTTCTTTTCCCTGAGTACCTGACTTTGCACCCTTAACACACTTGCAGGTAATCTTTCTCCTTCTTCTCTGAAGATACACAAACAGCTGTAAAATATTGACCAGATAGCTGCCATAAACTGTTACATATTAGGAGCAAACTAGCTCCCAAATGATTTGAGTTCATATCCTTTCCATGCATGAAACCATATTTAGAGAAGCAAATTTCCCTGCACATTAAAGGAAGCTGTTGCACGCGTGTCTATTTTGCATGTGCAAAATAAAATTTTACATACACAATGGGTATACATACAAATAGCTTTTGATTGCAATGTAAGTACCGCCTTTAGAAAATTGCGTCCCATTAAATAATTCATGTTATCCTCCTAGCAGAAGAAATCCGAAAGTGTCTAGTGAGGAACTAAATTAGTGAAAGTGGGGATTCAGGAAATATTGTCCTCTGTGTTGCAATAGTAACACTTCATTATTGGTTTATACAGAAAACAAACGAATTGGATAATTTGTAGCTTAGATAAGCCTTGGTTAATATAATCATACAGGATGTAAGGGGAAATGGGAGTGTGCATTCCCCTGCCTAGATACCTCTCCTGACGCAGAGCTGGAGAGCTCTGCCACGCAAATTCTCTCTTTGCAAAGGGCAGATGCAGATTCGGCTCCATTAACACCAATAAACTGGCTACCAGAGCAGACCCACAGCGTGGGGAGGATGCAATAGCTACATCTGGGGAAGAGCACTAAGAAATCGTTCCAATCCAAGCAGTGCAAGAAAGCAGAGACAAATTTTGAAGACCTGCTGGGCAAGATACAAGACACAAGAGCCTATATTTCAAGGCTCAGGCCAGGTAGTCCTGCCTAATTGACAGTAGGGGCTGGCTTTTTTATAATGTCAGATATTTTGACAAAATAAATCATTTTATAGAAGGCAGCAAGAAACATTCGAGCCCCAATTTGTGAATAGTGCTGCTAGTATAAATCTACTGTTTGTAAAGTACATTCAAATCCATTATGCATTGAAGATCTAAATAAAATAGCTGAGCAACTAGAAAATTACATAGAAAAAAAGTAAGAAGATAATGTGTGGGGACTAAATTATTGTAGCTTGGTGGAAACTGTTCTTCTAAGTGTTATCTCCATCTTCAAACTCTGTACAGGATTCCTGTTTGTTCCTGGACTTGTACCAACTGAGACTAGGATATAGGTCTTGGCCTTATTATCTGAAAGTTTGTAATATCCACTACTTGATGACTTGATGAGAAATTACATTTTAAAAAGCTTGATATTAATTTAAAACCTACAAGGTTTTCCTCATTATTTCTCAGACAGCCTATTCAACTCCTAGTCAGCAGCTACAGCAAAGTATGCTGACCCCATTGATGAGGTAATCAATTATACTGGAACAAAACAAACTAGTAACTAGAAAGAAAGGAAGCCTATGGTTTTATACAGAGCTAGAGAAAACAGGGAGAAAGAGCATTTGGCAAATGACACAGGACAAAACATTTCATTTCCAGGTTCCAAGAAGATATATTTTAAATTTGCATTAAATATTAAATGTTCTTCTATGCTGGACAGCTTTACTCAGAGTGAATGAAGACAAACCAGGGCACACATCCAAAGCTGTGGCTCTACAGGCATGTGGCACTCTGGAGAGGAGGTTTACATGCCAGCAACTGCAATTACCCCAACTAGCAACGATTTAGCATTCTGTGATGTCTAGAGCGTAAAAAATCCAGGCTGTACCTTTATATCACAACCACCTGAAATCCAGGTTTAAATTCTGCCTTTAAAGAGACTGCAGCACAGCTTGCTGCTGTGTGCACGTTGGAGAATAAAAATGATTAATTCTGCCCATCAGTGAAGTTTTCGCTTATAAGTATCACAAGCCTTTGCTGTGTGCAGCAGAAAAAAAAATGAAAATCATTTTTATGTTTAGTTTAAAATCCTTATTCAAAACCATGTAACAGTGCTAATTACTAAACATTGGGAAGACTGAATAAAGTATCATAAAATGCTGACTTAAAAAAAACCCAACCACAAAACAAAACACCTTAAACTTAAGTGCATTTACCACATTTTTTCATTGCATGATTTTACAATCCCAAGTTCAGAAAAGATTTTCATGTTAAAATTAACAGAAGAAAGTAATTGGGAAAGGAGTAAATCAAAATGGAAATATATCATTTAATATGAGCTCCCATGATGAGCTGAACATCTGAAAAAAGAGCAGATTGATCAATTCCTCACCACAAGAAAAAGAGACGCAAAGATTGGCTTGGGAGAAAAAAGATTTCCTTTTGGAATCACCACAGCGGGAGCCAGAGGAAGCTTTGCACCCAGAGACCTAATGTTGTCTGTTAAGCTAAAAAACTAGTCTGGAAGAAGAAAAAAAGTAAGACTTCATCTTTTCATCCCCTTCCACTTCACTGCTCCTCTCCCTAGCGCTTATCTTGATCCCAGTTTTCTTTTTCTGAGGATTTTTTTCTCCCTCCCCCCCTTCCTTTCTTTCTCTTTTTTGATGCTGACGAGGGGAGCAGCATGGGTGCCTGATGCCAGCTGCGTCCTAACAGGGACCCTGCCTTTCTCATTTGCATTGTCACATTCAGCAGTTACAGAATATGCCACAAAGGACCCGGAAGGGGTCGGTGATGGAGATAGCGCTGCAAATTCAGCATGGCCCTCCGAGCCTCGCGGAAGACGGCTACTGAGTACTGCTGCTGGTGTGTGCCAGCCCAAGTGCTTGCCAGTGTGTCCGGTCATGCTAAGGGGATTAAGACCTCAAAAGAAGGGCAATGCCTTGTGCCACAGGAAAATTCAGAAAGAAAATATGGAAATAGCCTACCTAAGCCAGCTGCTTGCTGCCCAGTTTGCCACAAGGGTGTAATGCAAAACTTGGTGTGACTGAGGAGGAATCCCCAGTGGGGATTTCTGGACAACGAGCTCTAGGATGCCTCACCACGAGACAACGACAGTGTGACTATAGGGATGTTGCCAAAGCGCAATGGTCGCTCTCTGTACCAAACCAGAGACTAAACTAACTGTGAGAATACAATATGCACAACATACACATATTATTCTTGTATTTATACACGGAAACATTCTAATGCAATGTATTATTCCTCTGAGGTTTTATGCCGTATTCTTCTTTCAGTTACGCTACAGCAGACCTGCCCTGCATAACTCAGACTATAATTTGAACAGTAACTTCTACACTAACACCACATAAGCAACGATCAGCAATGGCTTATCATATTGAGAGAGTAAGGACAACTACAGGCTGTCTACAAGCTGTAGGGATACAGTGAGAGAGATCTCACCACACATCTCAGTCTGCACACTGACCCCCTTAGAGTTCAAAACACTCTAGGGGTAGGACTCCACCCAGAGGGAATGTGTTATAAAGATCATAGACCTGAATGAAGGGCAACTAAAATATAGATTATCAGGTACAGCTCCACATTAGGCTGAAAATAACTGCATTTTCTAGTGTTCTTGTTATCTTAAAAAAGCATCTTGAATAATTACTCACACAATTGAAAGGAACAAAATCAGATATTCCTGGCCAAGTTAGCTTGGTGTATCATTGAGTAATTCTCCTCATTTTATCCACTAATGGCATGTCTAGAAATAAGAAAAATCTGAATTTTAACCTTGAAATAGGAACTCTACAAACCCGTATTTCAGTGTATGCATTGTAAGCCCTCACCAGGGAATACTTTCAAAAATAAAAATAAACTTCCAAACTTTGAATGCACTTTAAGGGTCATAAAGCAATGGGAACAAATGCATTATTTAATCATAAAAAACACACTCAATTCAGTGTAAGGCTGAGGAGGGAGCTCAGGCTCCCAGAGGCAAGTGAAGGGAGGACTGTTCTGAGGGACTGCTGCAAACGGGGCTGGAGCTGAGCTTTCCCTCAGCCCTGCCTCTGCCTGGGAGAGGAGGGGAGGTCGAAGAGCTGGAGAAGACAGGCAGCTCTTAATAAGAATGAGCAGCCATTTTCTCAGGAACAGTGAAGTAGAGAGGAAAAATGGTGGGGAATTTCTTGCTTACAAAAAATGAAGCCATTATTCAAAACTGAGAAGAAAGACCTTTAAAAGCATTGGCTACTCACACATTGCTTCGACTCCATGATAAAATTCTTACCCTTTTTAATGGCACGTTGTTAGCAGCAACATCTTTATTACAGTCTCTGTGTTTCTCCTTCATCCTTATTAAGAGTAAGGTCCATTTCTTACCTGACCGACACAGGCTCTGCTCACATTACCTTGACTCAAAGCTAACAGTAACTTTTAAAAAATGCCCACAATAATCATCAGCTATAGTATGCTTACCCTGAGGTAGTTGAGGGTGAAGTTTGTCAGACCCATTCGAGTGATGTTTTTGGACAGCTGCTCCAGCACCTGAGGGTCTTGTGCCTAAACAGCAGAGGAAAAAAGAATTTTCACTTTGGTTTCTGTCTATTTGTTTTTCTCTATGTGCTTGGTGGAGTGCAGGCAGGGTTCTCTGAAGAAAGATGCCATTCCTATGGAAAAAATACACATTGATCCTAAATTTATGTCATAAGCTATAGAGTTCTGTTTGCACAGGAAAATGCAAAACCTTATGAAATTGAAGCAGAATAAAGACTGTTTTCCAATATCTTCTTTCCATCCCTACCCATTCAAGAGAGAAACCTAGAAGGTCCGGTCATGCACAGGGACGCAAGCGAGCAGGAACCCACCAAAGAGCTTCCTGAGGGATCACAGTACACTTTGAGCCTTCCATTTGTTGGCTGGGAGTCCAGGAGACTAAGCAGATAAAGGCAGGAATAAAGAAGGTATGGCTTTCATTTTGTGGATAAGAAACTGAAGCAGAGAGAACTCATCAAGCCACCTTCAGCAGAGCTGATCACACAAGTGGCATTAAGCACAGGCCAGAGAACCCTTGTCTAAGTTATTTTCCCAGAATTAAACAGGAAAAATGCAAGCACAGTCCTTCTCTGACCCTACCCAGGAGCCCTACCTGTGAGACCAGCCTCCTCTTTAAAACAAGATCAATCTCATTACTAAAATTAGTACCTGCTGGTTGCTGCCTAACCTGGTCTACTCTCTTTGAATTGCAGTCATCTAAATACATGTTGTTGCTCATGGCCATCCTCGCTGTCCCTGAATGGGATACTGTTGAAGAGTTCAGAAGATCAGCCCTCTAAAATAACTCTGAGACAAAAATGGTGGGGCAGATTTTCAAAGGTATTTTCTTCAGGCCTGTAATAGCATTTTCAAAAAAGTCCAGGCTGCTTAAGTTATTTAAAATTCCTCACTAAGAATATATCTTTATCTATGTATATATAAGTAAATCGATGTCAAAATACGGGCACACGTTTGGGCCTGTGTTCTTACCCTCTGTAAAACCATAGTCCTGCAATTACTATCGCATTACTAATCTGAACGATTCTACAGTGCAGAACTGAAAGTGGCAATAAAACTGTCCTTTGTTTTCCCCCAACGGCTTACTTTATAAGAGTTTGACTTCAACCTGTAGAATATTTAATATTTTAATATTCCATTGTGTGTGTTTTCATGCAATTACAAAAAAAAAAAAGTCTTGAAATGTGAAAAAAGATCATCTGGATTAAAATTCTAAAGGTTTCTAAGTAAATATATGGTAATTGCTTATATTCTGTCTCATACAAGGCTAACAGTTTGCTTAATTTAAAGACTAAATATAATTCCTACCTAAAATGATGAAAATTCACTGAATTTACTGTAGTTCATATCAATAAGAATAGATTATGGGCCCAAATCATACAGACCACCAAATGGGATTAAAAGGAAAACTATGTGCTAAAACAAAATGAAAACATAGCAACAGTGGCAACAATAGAGCACTGAGAAACAAGGGAGTGATGAAAGAACTTGTAAATGGATGTAGTTGCAGGCAAACCAAAATATTTATAGTTAATTGTCTTGGGTGTGAAATTTGCTGGAGTTCTTCATAAAACTAATCTCATCTCTTTGCATTAGGTCAAGTGAAAAAAGGATTACTTACATGCATGGCTAGAATGCTGCGTGGGACTAATTCTCTGTACTGTCTAATAGTAAAGTGCCATGTTTTTATTCTCATAAGATCATCAAAAGTAAACTCCAAGATAAGACGTCCTTCTGTGCATACCTAGAATACATAAAATGCATGAAATAAATTCCCAGGAATTTTGTTTTCACTGGTATTGTATCATCGATTAAACAACATTCAAAAATATCAGAGCAGTATTCTATTGTTCATCTCTGCTGGATTAATTGTTTTTCTTTCTCTTGGGGAGAAAAATACAGTGTGGGAAAATGACTTCATAGGCCTTACCGCAGAGACAGTAACTTATAATACTATAGATTTTATAACATTTTACAAACATAGAATATTGTGTGCGCTAAATCTTATTTTCTTTCCCTTGCAGTTTGCTACTGCCAATTAATGACTGAACCTCGCAGTGGAGGTGGCTGTGGTGCAACTGCGTACACTTGATGTCAAGTTGCTGAACCAGTCATTCCCAACCTGTTTTATGTTGCCCTTTCCTTACAATAGCTTGGTATATAAACCTTCCTTTCATGTCCAGTTGGAGTACAGAGAGCCCTGAATGCCTGTGGCCAAACCTGATTTTTTGCCTATTTTTTTCCTTCCTGTCTTTTCCAAGTGTTCTTGTCCTTTCCAGGCATTTTATTCCATTTTTATTTTTCATTTCTTATCTACTTTTATTAACCCCACCCTTCCAAGGAAAGCTAGAGAGGGTGTCTGCCATCGGGCTGCATGAGCTGCATTGCCACAGCAGATTTGAGAGCCAGGGGAGCAAAGAGGTTGCAGTCGTGGCCGACGGAGCTGCTTCCACAGAAAGTGGCTCACGCAGCTTTGTGAGGAGTCTTGTCTGAGAAAGGAGAGAAAATATGGGACGAATAAATGCAGCAAGCGGGTACCGAAATGAAAAGTAAAATAAATTACTGGGGACTTTCAAACAATTGTTCACAACTTTAGGTGGAAAAAAAGTTGTGGCTGTGGTGGTCTTTAAGGTGCAAAATACATGCCCAGCATGGTATCCTGACTGGAGTACTGTAAATGATGCATGGTCTGAAAATTAACTCCCTCTGTTGTTGATTTTTTTCTTTAAGTTGGATGTTTAGACTTACAACTCCTATTCAAAGTAAACTTTCAAGTGCAGGGTACAGAGATATTGTGGAAACAGTGTGTAACAGCTTTCAAAAGAAAAGGTTCCTGCAACTTTGATTTTAGTACAACTAACATTTGCTTGAACAACTAGCCATCCTAGATTCAGTTGAGTAGCCTTTTTACAAGCCCCAACTCAGACTTGGCTAGTTCCCACTTGGGCAAAGTGTGGCTTTTCTGGTTAACAGTTCATTTAACGTCATCACAGTTTTTCCTCCTCTGAAAAACACGTAGGTAATTTTAACAGGCATACTATATAGACAGATTACTGTAGACCTATAAAGCAGAATCTTGCAACAGGTTCTCATCTGCCCTTTTCAACATACCTTAGTGATGCCTTCAAATTTTTAATGTGACTTATTTTGTCATTTGACCCTGATTTTGATTTTCTCATCAGTTGCACTATGATAAGAAATTACACATGGGTACATATGCGCGCATATAAGGATTCATACCAGAAGAAAAACATTTTATATTAATGTTACTGTGTTGAGGCCAAAGATTCTGATTACTGACCAGGTAACATGAAAATATTTCAGGTTTAAAATATTTTTTTTTATAATAATACCTGTGGCTTCTCAAATGTTTCTTCTGTTAAGCTCAAAACCCCACAGCTCTTAACAGATGTATTTTATGTACTGGCATTAACAAATTTTAATAGAAAAACTGAAATACATACCTCGTATCACAGTGGTAAAAATTTATACATCTTATAAAGGAATTTAATTTCCTTATGTAGAGCAGAATTTTACGCATTGCTTTTAATCAATAAAATTGGTGCAGTTCTTATTTTAAATGGGCCTCTTTTTTTTTTTTTTTTTAAAGCTGCCTTTTACATAGAATCCAAAAATCAAAAGGGTCTCCAATTAAGAAAACATTTTCTGTTGTGCTGAATTCATGTTACCGTACTGTGAGCTCTGACATTTTGTTTCTGTGGTAACCAAAATCAGCTGATTAGTTGGCATGGCAACAGAAAAGATGTAATCCCAGCAGACACACTCTAATCAATGCCCCCAGCACAGATGGTCTCCGGAGGATCAACAAGAAAGAGGCTGGCAGGCATTCAGTATATCACGTGGTTGCTCTAGACTAGGCCAGGAAAAAAACTAAAAAAGAACATTTCTCAAACTAACCAATAGCTTTTTAACCCCTTCACTGCACTTATTAATTGTAGGAATTCCAACTGCTCGCACCTATGAAAACGAACTTTGGTCCTGAGCCTTATTGCTCAAAGTCTCGCTCTCCTAACACTGGGCATCTTTTAAACTCTTCCCCTTTTATTAACGACCATTTTTCAGACCTGACTCTGTGCTTGAAAAGAAACCCAAAGCTTATGCAAATCTGGGAAATGCCTGAAATTGTTAGTAAGGATTAAAATCACTGAGTTTCAAGGGCTTCACCTATAAAATCCAGCTGATGGCCCCACTGTTGGGCGCAGGTGGAGAACAGTTCGAACGCGGGGTGCTCACTGCTCTAGTGGTGAAGGCAAAGCTCGCCTCTGCCAATCTATCAGGAAATATAAATAAACATCGCTAACTGCAGAAAAACAGTTTGCCCACACATAAAGTTGGAGTGTCGGTAAACACAGTGAAAACAGAGACTTAGGAGGACTCCTAAAGCTTTCCTTTACCTGAAGAAAAAAATGAAGCATCTGCCAGGTAAAAACACGGTAGTTAGGGCTTCAGTCTCTTCTTTTACCACATTTAATTCATGCTATTGAACAGTATGCAATTCTTTACAGTACTTATTTATACCTCGATAAAACAATTTTAAAGTGTGTGACACTTTACAAGGACTCTTGCCCTCTAAAGACAAGCTGGACTATTCATAATGTTACTGTTAGGCATGTTCTACCCATAGTTGTTTGAAAAAAAATTGAAATGCCATTTTATATATTCATCCAATACTGCAGTATGGAGTGAGTTGCTCTAACTAGGAAAATGTCGAAATTAATAAAATGCAGCTGTGGATTCCTGATTCAATACATGATGAGAACAGTTTCAGCCCATTATATTAGAAGTTAGTGAACTTGTAGCTTACAAGCTGTGAAACTGAAACAGCTATTAACAAATATAGTTAGTTTGTATTTTGGCATTAAAAAAACCCTTTGTGGTAGTTTCACTGGGTGAAATTCAGGCATGATCTAAGGAGCTACGCAGTCCATTGTAGTGCTGCTTATTATGGGAGGTCTGCTTTGTTCCACCACCAATGCTGTGAGTTACGAGTTTACCTTTGGGTACAAGATCTGTGCCCTCAGTATCTCTGCTAGAAGTTACACACGCACAGCTGAGACAACATTCGGCTCTGACTTATTTCTAAGAGAGTAATATATTCTTTTCTCCCTTGTTCCACCAACTACTGTGTTTTATTTAAAATTTGCTCTAACACAGTCATATTTTAAACACACAGCCATTAAAAACCCCTAATTTTTCTCCCAGAATCCAAATCACATCCCCGCCTGAACTTTTCTACCAGGATACTGAGGTTTATGTTAGAATCCGCAACAGAAACGTCAGGGCTGAAGCAGGCCGTGCGCTGCCGGGGGTGCAGCACACACTGCGCACAGCAGGACGGTGCTACGGGAGGCGGCTGTGGCCCCCCTCACACGAGGTGTGCGCCCAGTCCCTGCTGCTGGTTTAGCTTTGACTTGCTGAATACTAGTCTCCTTTCCAAAGTAACAACACTGTAATGTGCTGTTACGGTAAGTAAAATAAACTAATTGAATGAAGAAAAGCGTGTTTTGCTTACTGATTCAAAAAAACCCCTTGTATTTGTTATTGCATTAAAGCTAACACAAAGGGAAATGACAGAAATCGTTTTAGGGAGCTACACAAAGAAAGAGTTAATGTACACCCTCGTCACATCCTCTGCACATGGCCAGCACGCACAACTCCTCGTAGCAAAGAGGAACATCTGGTCTCTTTGCATCTCTTTCTCTCTCTCTGATTGTGTCTGTGTAAGTCACAGCGGGCTGGAGTGGCAGAGCTGGAACAACGACACCATTAAATACACACCTCCCAGCTCACCAGTGCTCTGCACACCAGCGGCTTCCTCTCCCTCTTCTTTGAGCCCCACTCCGAGAGCCACGAAGATGTCAGGGAAGACACTATGAAGGGATGGGACTCACATACATGCTAAAACAGCATAAGCCATGTGGGCCCTGGTCACGATGCTGTCAACAGCTGGTGCCTGTTTTGACCCTAAAACCTCCACAGTCCTGCAGGCTAAGGGCAACACGGATGGGTTACCTCCTCCTGCGGCCCCTTTTCCTTTTGTGCTTTTCTCCACGCAAAGGTTAAAATTCATACAGATGAACAGGTACAAGATAGAAAATCATCATTTCCTGTTAAGTTACGAAAGGGTACATTTCCGTTTTGAAAATCAGTTTACTGATATTTTTAATATAAGAAAATTTTTATTTTAATTTGTATTTTCCACCTTTTTGGTACTGTTTTTTATGAAAATACGGCACTCAATTTAATTACAGGACTAGAAGTGGCCAATGCATGAAGATAATTCACTATCAATTACAAATATTGAATATTCACTAACTGCCTGATCCAGAGCATGTTTAAATCAATTGACTCCTTCCATTGACTTCCCTGCCCTTTGGACTGGCATCCTACTGTATTAAATCACTATTTTCCTAGAGATTTATAGTCCTTGGACAGGGTAAGCATCAAATGTAAAGCATACCATCCCAAATGGTAGGTACCAGCAATGCAAAATCTCATTGTTGCTTTAAAATCGAGCCCAGAGAAAAGGAGATGGGCAGGTTGAATTTAATTCACATACAACTGATGGTTCTGACAGCTGATGGTTCTGGCAACCTGGCATTATGTGCTTCTCTTGCAATCTTTCTGGGAGAATTGCAGAGGATGCCCACAGAATTTTCCAGTCATGTAATGAATATAGAAAATAGTAATTAAATGGCTTCAAGGGTTTTCAGTATTAGAAATAATCTCAGTCTACCAGAAAAATGCAACAGACAATATTTTTCACCCTTATATACACTGAAAAAGAAAAAAAAAAAACAATAAAAAAACCAAACCAACAACATGCTTTATTGAGTCTTCCCTGTTACCTTGGTAAACATGGGTTTTCCATGCTGAGTGACCATGGTGCATTGATCACAGTCCACTGTGATGGATGAGTTGTGGTATGACTCTTTTGAGTGCTTGAGAATGTAATACAGGTCTGTTACACCTCCTTCAAAGACAGTGCTAAAATAACGAGGAATGAGGGTCCTTCCAATTGCTGTGAGGAAAATACAAAGCAGAATTCAGCAAATGCTCTAGGTTATAAAATCTCAAACCATTTGCTAACAGAACATGAATAATTTTAAGAGCAATGAAATCAAACTTTCATTTAATGAATATAATACATGTTCTCTGTCTGCTGTAGAAATGATGTTGTGCCTGCTCCCATTGAAATCGATGAAAATGGCTTACTCCATTCAGAGGGAGTGGGCTCATCTTATTTAATCTTTTTACATTGATGGCGAGTTAGAGTCACTCTTGAAACCATCTGCAAGGTTTTTTGTCCCAAAGTAATTATTATACAGAAAGCCACATGGTGTCAATTATCATTGAAAGTTGGATATTACTCATAAATGTATAAATACAAGTGGTGAGCATTTACAGAAATATACTCGTACACCCAAAAAGGCAAAGCACATTTATATAGGGGGGTTGTGTACACATACATGTTTGTCTGTGTGTGGGCACACGTATATTTATATACACCCACCCACACATACACACACACATGTGCACACACACTCTTGATTGAATAGGAGGGCTACTGCTGAGAAATCAGAGTCCTGGGGATTGAAGGACCTGAGAATGCAATACAATATATGTTACACAATATATGACTACCCACAGGTCTATCTGAGATCTCTCTTTAGACCAGAAGTATTTATGTCATAGGCTAGGAAGTCTGAGCAGATGCCTGAACTAGCTTATATGCACCACTTAAACCCCAAACTATGGACTCAAGGTACCCAATTCTGCAACACTTACTCGGCCAAACTCTCACTGAAGTCGCGCCTCTCACTTTAATAGCAGTTTCAGGTAAGTACTACAAGGTCTAATTCCAAATACCTAACAGTAATAGTGAGCTTCTGGGTGTATTTCAGATGCACAAACTAACAGAAGCACTGACATCAAAGGTAATTACCCCGTGTGCAACTGATGTTTTCCTTCTCCTTTTTTACAGATAAATTTGTTTGTAACCACAAGCCTGCTATGACAGAACACTTCAGTTTATAATAGACTGATACTTCTGATACCGAATGACTCATTGCTTTGCATGCATTAATCAATCCACAGTAATTCTGAGTGGTGGATATATAAAAATTGCCTCCATTTTACAGAGGGAAAAACCAAGCGATCTAAACTGTGTTTTGGAAGAATGAGACAGAAAAGTCCCCATCAACAGGCAAGATTAGAGTTTATTAGTTCCTATTTCTTATTTGTCTATTAGGACTATGTGGTGACTCATGCCTCCCTCATTTGCTGTATACTTTTGAGAGTAATTTCTAAAAAAATTATTTTCATAGGAATTTTGCCAGCATACGAGCAAAGGCTCCTGACCCTAAAAATGTATTTGCAAGTGGGTGTTGTAAATTAAAAAGTATGTCGTTTTCACAGTAGTTCTGTGAAAACTGTTTCTGCTCTGTGCATTACAATGTGGAATACTGTATGTGCAGTCATAACGCACATTATATAATGGAAATATACAAATATAGAAAATTAGGACTTGTTAAAGCTTTTGCTGTAATATTAGATATTAATGTAATTTAATGTACAAAAATATACCACACTCTCTGGAAGTGGCTGACAATTCAATGAATAAATACGTTGAACGACTATTCTACAACTCTAGCTCCTAAAAAAAACCTACCCACTCACCATGCATATATTAATTTTCTACAGTCTTTTAATTTAATTTAGAAAAACTGAAGTCCAGTGTATCAGCATAGGACTCAACTCAGGCTTTAACTCAAATTTTTACATGTTGGTATGGTATATAGTAAAATGTGAAATTTACCCATCAAGTTAATTTCTTGCTCCCCTAAGGCTAATTAGTGCAAATTAAATTTCCTGCTAATCATCCTAAGCAGCGAATGTGTGATATGAAAATCCAGCAATCCTACTGATTGTGATAAACCTCTATTCACGTGACTTATGCACTGCATAAATATCTGGAAACTATTTTAACTGCAGTTTATAGACCATTCCCAAAGTAGCATTGTCATATGGTGTTGCTTTTTACCTTGTATTCACAGCTACAACATGTTAAAGAAGACTAGAAATACATTAAACACCTTATTCTTATTACTTTTCCTAGTAAGCATTATCTATGTTTGCCACAGAGATATGCTACTGTGAACAACAAAGTGCGGGACCAAAAGGATGAAGAGGAATAGAGGTGCACACAAGAATATGCCCCATGGAACCTGGTTTTCAATGACAGGTGCACATGCAGACCTTGTCTGTCTGTAAAACTGAAAATAGCTAATACAAATGTCCAGCATAAACAATTATAGCTAATATTCACCTCCAGAAGAAACGTTCATGGAAACCCGTATTAATAAGCAGACCTGTCCTTGGCTCACCATGTTGCCTTGCCACAGAAGACTGAAGTGGTTTCAAGGTTTTGGTTCTTTTCCTGAAGCACTCAATAGCTTAAAAAGATCATTTCATTTCTAGGATAAACATGAAACTCTCTACAGCGGTAACAAAGCTTATTTGTGCAGGACAGAGTATTTCCAAGAACAACAAAAGGCTGTGGAAGAGCTCTTATAAAGTCTAGAGATCACCACAAACTTTGTGCATTTTAAGTGCAAAGGACATTTCCTTGATTTTTTCTCCTCCAAAACATAATTGTGTATATGAGCATTCAAGCACATATGTGTACGCACCCTCAGCTGTGCTGCACGCATACATACAATCCTTTCCTGGGCATAGGAATATGAACGTGGCAAATGTGCTTTTCCTTCCCTTCTTGCAGTAGATGGACATGCTCAGGTGTGGATGTACACACTCCACCTGTGTCTGCCCCTGTACATCTCAACAGGATTTTAGCAACACCATGTACCTTCTGCCAGAATCAGCTGAAGGCTACTTCCTAAGAGGACTCCAAGTAATGTGAAGGCAGGATTGTGGGACAACTTGATACCTGTGGCCACTTCGGGATGTAGTTTAGCCATCCTTGCACCAGAAGTCTGAACTCACACCTTGCAGAGCACAGAGCAAGCTGTGCAGAGGCAGTTACAGACAATAATGGCAAGTATAGTCTAAATAGCATATGGTGTAATATCTTATCACCCCAACAGGGCTGAACGAAGCCTTATATGCTACTGCCATTGGAATTTCTTCATGGTTTAGAGCTTGGCTTTTAGTCCACAGAATACACTTTTAAGAATGTATCTCTGCATGGTTTTGTGGTGCTCCTCCCTCCCACGCCACACTTCCCTAAAGGAGCATCATACAGACACCCTCAGAGCCAGCGCACAGATCTTTGCCACAGGAGCTCTGAGAGTGAGTGTTTGCAGTAGCAGTTTGAGTATGGGGAGACTCTTGTAATTTCCTTTCCTGGTGTCAGGGCCCTGAGAGCACCCCTGCTCTGGGGCTGGGCTACCAGGCAGATTTTCCTTCCAGCTTCTCGGGGGAATCCTTGCCCAGCTACTGCAAGGCTTTCTGCCTACATCCTCGTGGAGTTCCCTGCAACCGGATCTCCTTCCAGTCCTGTCTACTGTCCAACTGTTGATCCTTATTCTTTCTCCAATCACTTTGCTCACCTACCCCCATGGTCCAATCCTCCATTTTCTCACCTTACGGTTGGTTGCTTTGCATCGGTTATCTTCCAAGACCACTGTTCAACTCCCAGTATTTCCCTGTCTTCTCTTCTCTCCCCCTCCTCGCATGCTGCCCCTTTTTTCTCTTGCTCAGGGAGGCTCATTAACCCTTCCCAAACCCACCCGATTTCCTCATTCTCCTTACTTAAGCAGGCGCAGCTATCTAGTTTCAGTCTCCCTGTTCTCCTCCACTCTCCCCAAAACACCAGCTTCATGTGCACTTTCTCAGAGCCCTTCCTACCCAGCCAGGCTGCCTCAGCTCCTTGTCCCAGGCTCCCTGCCTCAGCAGTCTTAGCCCTCCTTCTGCATCTTGATTTTGTGGGTTTTTTTCCCCCAAGATTCTCTCTCTGTCCTTTTCCCCACTCTGCCTCCTCCTAACAGCAGATTCTTTCTCCAAACAAACCCCAATCTCTCCTTCCTTCCTTCAGCTTCTCATCCAGCCAGGGACTAGGCAAGAGGACCTCTTCCTTCTGTGCCCCCCACCCAGCCAAACATCTCCCCGTTCCCCATGTTTTTCTCATTGACTTCCAATTCTCCTTTACTTACTCATCCTCCATCTTCTCCTTTCAGCTCCCAGTTACTATTTCTCTCCCCTCTCCCACATCAATGTCGTCTTGCCTGATTTATTCCCTTCTCTTTTCTGTCCTCCTCTTCCCTGTTCCTTCCTCTACACTCAGGTCAAGTTGCTTCCTTTGCAGGGCCACCTGGATCCCAGGTGCACCCGCCGGGAGCGCAGGAGAAGGAAGGGCCTCCTGCTCTCGCGTGCAGCACTGGCTGAGCCTTCCCCACGGGCTTTGCAGTGGAAATGTCCACGAGTCCACGTAGCCCTGAACTGCAACATGTCTAGTTACTCTTTGCAGTTGGCATGTGGATAGCCCCACTGGGCTCCTACGAGGAGCCTTACTATGTTCCTGGGAAAGGGAGTCCTTGGAAATTGTAGCTGTCAAACTCTAGTAAAGCCTGCACTGAGTACTTGAGAATGGGCGCTTTTTTCCCCCCAAAGATTTATAAATTTGCTAAATTCAGTCAGATTTCCTCTAAGAGGACAAAAGGGAAACCGCTGCCGCAAAGGAGAGCAACCATACTCCAGAGCATACAGATTCTTGGGCATTTAAAAAACAAAGTTGCAAGACTTTTGTAACACGGACAAAACAGTATTTTTCCATTTGCGGGGGGGAAGAAGAAATCCTTTTTAGCTTAAATAAAAAAGAACTAGCTAAAAGGAAAAACAATTTCAGCTTTATAGGGTCAAGTTTGGCAAAATTATAAATAAGTAGAAAGAAGGCCTTTTAATGGGACTTATCAAGCAATAGTAATAAGAGATCATCTGCCTGCAAGAATACATTGGAATAGCCATGACTGCAGATGCTGAGGCTCTGAGCCCAATACTCAG